TAAACGTGGGGAGGTAAATCGAGTAATTATTATTGGAGTCTCAAATGTAGTTTGGGATAGGAAATGGTAGTGCAATAATATAATGTTGGTGGCCCATTAATATTATTTAATTAATTAGAGGAGTGGGCTTGACCCACAGTTAGTCTAATTAATTAAAGACCCTTTTCCTAATCTCCTAAGGGTCCCTACTGTAACTCTATATATACATCATTAAGCTCATGAGAAGAGAATGTCAATCTCATTCTAACGAGACATGCCCCACGCCTCTCTCTCTCTCTCTAGATCTCATTCGAGTTTTATCTTCTTCTTGTTGCTCCACTGGTACAAGTAAAAGAAGGGTGTATTGAGTAATACAGTAGACGATCTGTAGGTAAACCAAGATGAAATATATTTTGACCTACAGAACTAACCGAGAGTCCGATTGAGACGTACAGCATACACAGACGACCGTATCGACAAGAGCTTTCCATCTCTGCCGAGATCGCAGTCGTCGGACGCCGCACGCGCCCTCATGCGCTGCCAGAAGCTCCCAGGCTGTAAAGTTTCATTTTGATATGTTTGCATCCGTTTGATCCGATTTTGATCTGATCTTGTTCGTGCAACCCAAGACGTGATTTGCGGTCAATAAATTGCGGTCAACCATTTGTGGTCAACCAAATCTACATAAATTTTAAGTCGTAAGTTCTCTACGTCAAACCTTTAGATCCTGCGCATAGGTTTACGTTTGCTATTGAATTCGTGACTTGTACATAACGAGATCCTCACAGATCCCAACAAGATAATGAAGTTCTTCTAAATTTCATTAGTGAAATGCAAATATCTTTAGAAGATGAGGGGGATATGCTATCTCAACAGGTCTCCAAAGATAATGAAGTTCTTCTAAATTCCACTAGTGAAAAACAAACTTAAAATGAGGATGAGCCTCATAGAGTAGAGCATGAGGTAAGTCATAAAGCTCATAGTCCCATGCCTCTCAAGGACAGTGAGAGAAATTTTTCTACTAGTTTGGAAAATAATGAAGGTCCTACTTTGAGAAGGAGTGATCGTGGAAGAATTCATCGTCGATTTTTTCAAATTGAGGAGGATGTGTTTCTTTGTACTCCTTTAGAAGTAGATGAACCGAACTCTTGTAAAGAGGCAATGAATTCACCACATAATTCAGAATGGAAAGATGCAATGAATGATGAGATGGACTCAATGATTAAAAATAATGTCTGGGAACTTGTTGACCTTCCACCTCATCGTCGATCAATTGGATGTAAGTGGATATTCAAAATCAAGCGTGGGGTGGATGGGTCAATAGAAAAGTTCACTCGTTTAGTAGCGAAAGGTTTTACCCAAATTGAAGGTATAGATTACTATGAGAAATTTTCTCCTGTGGTGAGATTTGCCTCTATTCATCTTCTTCTGGCCCTGGTTGCCCATTTGGATTTAGAATTATTTCAAATGGACGTAAAAACAGCATTTCTCAATGGTTCTCTTGAGGAAGAGATATATATGGATCAACCTGTTGGGTTTTTCCCTAAAGGGCAAGACAATAAAGTTTGTCGCCTCAAAAGATCCATATATGGTCTCAAGCAGTCTTCTAGATGATGACATCTCAAATTCCATGAAGCCATTTGTGCATTTGGTTTGACCATGATTGATGAGGATCATTGTGTGTATGTCAAGAAAAGTGAAGAAGGAATTTTGGTTCTTTCTCTATACGTTGATGACATATTGTTGGCTGGAAATGACATGGGATTGATCAACGACACTAAGATGTGGTTGTCCTCTAATTTTGAAATGAAGGACATGGGTGAAGCTAGGTATGTCCTAGGAGTGGAAATAATGAGAAATCGTTCTAAGAAACTTCTTGGTTTGTCTCAAGAAACCTATATTAAAAGAATCTTAGAACATTTTTGAATGCATTATTCCAAACCCGTTGATACCCCAGTCGAAAAGGGTTTAACCTTAAGTCTTGACCAATGTCCGAAAACAGATGAAGAAAAACATAAAATGAGCAATTTTCCATATTCTAGTGCAGTATGAAGCTTGATATATGCTATGTTATGTACACGGCCAGACATCTGCTTCGCAATTGGCTTGGTAAGTCATTACCAAAGCAACCCTGGGCCTGCACATTGGCAAGCTGTCAAGAGAATCTTGCGGTACCTGCGTGGTACAAGTGACTTGGTACTTTGCTATCAAGGTGGGTCCTTGAAATTAAAAAGATACTTGGATGCTAATTGGGGTTGTGATATGGATGAGTCAAAGTCAACTTCAGGATATGCCTTTATATTTGGTGGAGGTGCAATATCCTGGTGCAGTAAAAAACAAAATTGCATTTCACTTTCGACTATGGAAGCTGAGTATGTTTCCAGTTGCATTGCTGTTCAAGAGGCAATATGGTTGAGGAATTTTCTACAAGAACTCAACCTCACCCCAAAGATTGATGAACCTGTTTAAATGCATTGTGATAATACTGCTGCTATCTAGTATGCCCAAGATCCGAAGTTTCACAGAAAAACCAAGCATATCAAAAGGCGTTATTAACAGAAAAACCAATACATCTTATACTTGAACGAACTAATCTCAAACACTTAATCCAATTTGTGTATTAACTGAGTTGGATCTTACTTGCTTATTAAATAAGTCAAGCCGAGCTGACTCATTATTAATCAAACACGAGCTTGAACATGAGATATTTTGGCTTGACTTGACTTGAATAACACGAGGATATATAATTTTCTATAATGCACTCACATGAGGCATACATTTTCATTATATAATAAATAGAGAAAATAAATAATAAAAATGCTCTACCCAAGATATAACTTATGAATTTTAGTATTTTAAAATTGTGTTTGAGATTATTTTAGATCGCGAGACTCATTAACAATTGATTCAATGTTGACAGTTTCTGCAATTACTATTCGATCCGGTGAAATTGCATATCTTGCATGCTATGCTATTTCAAATTTTTTATATTAAGATGTTATATATCTCATGCATTGAATTTAATTAAATACTATATTACTAAGAAAAAGCACCGAATATTATATATGAAGAGTGAAAAAATACTTACAAAAATATAACGTACTTAAAAATAATTAATAGACAAAGCAATACAATAATTCGTAATAACTATGGAATGATGCGATAAATTGAATATGCTTATAATATATATTTATGTAGTAAAGGATAAAAAAAAAATAATATGCTTGTAATGTGTATATATATAAAAGGACATCAATATAAAAAGCATCATGAGTTGAGTGAAATAAAATAAATGATAGAGGGAGCTTACAAAGTTTTCTTCTCCAATACAATAATCCAAATCAATATTGAAAACAAAGAACAAAAATGAGGTCCTGGGTGTCAAATAAGGGTTATGTTTGGTAAATAATTTATGCCTAGCTTTTAGTTGTTTGGATCCATATTAATTTTTTGACCATTCTCAACTGCTAACTGCTAGTGTGATGTAAACTCAATACTTTGATTTACAATCCTGTATTACATAGGGTTGAAATGTAAGCCACACGCCCTAAAAGCATTTACAATAAGTGCTCCCCGAGTAGGCCTACCAGCGGCCATAGTCTCTCCATGGTGCAAGACTAATTTTGGATAGTTGAGACAATGACCCAAGTCACACAGACACACACTCTCGCACTCCTCAAGCTACTCAAAGCGTTTAGGTTATATTTAGATTAAAGGATTTAAGGTTCCAAGGATTTCAAATGAATACATTTAAACTTTTTGGATTTAAAATCCTTTATTTAAATTCGTAAAAATGATTACAATTTCATTCCCTAGCTTGCAACAACAATGTTAACCAATTAATTTAAAATTTCTTGTTTGGATTTGTGGAAACAAAAACTTGAACGTCATTTCAGCCTCAGTCCTGTTATGTTCTCTCTATTATTCCCTCAAAACAAATTACAGAGAGACTCTTGTAACGCAGCATATATAGTAATTTTACTATATAGGGGGACAAATTCTCTCAAAGGAGAGCCCCTTCTCTTGTCGAAGAGTTTCCTTCTCTTATTGAAGAGATCCCTCTCCCATAGGAGAGATTCCTCCCATCTATTATCTTAATCGATCCTCAGCGAAAATATTCCAATTCAGTTCTTAATTTGAAATAAGAACTTCTCTTCCTAAGGTTCCAATGGAGGGGATCAACCCAATCGATGCAACTGAAGACGTGGAGCGCCGATTGAACGCCTTTTCTCTCACGGCTGTTGAAAACGAGATAATTGACATCGGAGACGAGGATGTTAAAGCCAGCAAGGAAGAATGTCAACACAGCCTCTTTGGGAAAATTTTTGGTGATAAACGTGCAAACATGGTGGGTATTCGAAGAGCAATGAGCCAAATATGGCGGTTGAAGAACTCGGTTGAGGTAAGGGAGTTGGAACCTAACTTCTTTCAATTTATTTTTGAAAATCAAGAAGACTTAAAGGAAGGTAGAAGGAGGCACAAATTGGATATTTGAAAACCAATATTTAATCCTTAAGCCATGGTATGAAGGTCTAAAAAGCAAAGATTCAAGCTTTAAAGAGATTAGCTTCTGGGTCCAAATTCGTATTATACCGTTGAATTGGCTTACGTCGAAGGTCGGACTCAAGATTGGCAGAATATTCAAAACTGTATCAAATGTTTTAGTCTGCAATTTAGGACCCCATGGAGGCAGGCTCATTAAAATCTTAATCAGAGTGGACATAAATGAGGCTTTGCCAAGATGTACTACCATTCGTCTGGGATCGCAACTAGTAACAGTTGCCTTCAAATATGAGAGATTAGTTAGTCTCTGTTTTTACTGTGGTAAGATAGGACATAGAGAGAAGAACTGCAATCAAAGAGTGGAGGATATCAGAGCCAAAACATTGAATGAAGTGCAATTTGGTGACTGGTTGCGAGCATCAGAGGGGCTTCAAAGTTAGAACTAGAATAATACCAATTCCATCTCCTCCTCTGATCATCTCAAAGAACATGAACCTCAACACTCCACATCAAAAGAAATGACGGCTACCCAAGACTTAATAGTGAGGCACTCTCCTGAACAGATCGACAGCTCTAAAGACCCAGAAAAGACCACACCAGAAAAAGCTTTTAGCTCATCTCACACGACAGTGACAGCCCCACCTACCAGCCAAGACAGACAACTTGTGAGTCATACAGCTGCCACTGCTATTCAACAGAAGACAATTGAATGTCTTGCCAATCCAGATAATCTACAAATGGAACTTGACCAAGCAGTTGTCCCACTTTTTGCAAGTCATCAACCACTAGACAACGAACAACAAACAAACAAGCATCAAACTTCAAAGGTTAAAACTTGGAAACGAGTGGGACTTAAAGAGGGAAGGCTGCAAAGGAATCATATTACTTCTCAACTACAACAGGGTACAACCACTTCTGAAAGACAAAGAGAAGACAAAGCTCCCACTAGTACTCCTATTGCCCACAACTTCCTAACCCTTGATCAACAGAACAAAAAACAAAAATGTCTTTCTGAAAAGGAGATGAGGGCCAACCTTAAAGAGCCCTCATCACCTCCACGAATGCTCTGGTGTGGAATTGTAGTGGTCTGGGTAGGCCCTCTACAGTTCTCCAGATCAAGGAATCTATAAAGATCCATCGCCCCTCTTTTATTTTTCTTTGAGAGATTAAAAAAACAAAAAAAAATTGTTCAAAAGGTGTGTTACAAATTGGGATTTGAAAACAGGCACTTTATTGTTCCTCCCATAGGAACTAGAGGTGGCATGTTACTTCTTTGGGACACAGATACATAAATCATTCAAATACAGTGCCAACCTTTCTTCATAGCAGTAAACTATATGGATAAATAACTTAACTTATCATGTTGGGCCATTTCTATCTATCTTAGCCCTTATTGAACTGACAGGGAGGCTCAGTGGGAGTTGTTACAGCATGAAAAAAGCAAATGGAGGTCACTGTGGTACATGGCAGGGAACTGGAATGACCTTAGCAAGCCAGAGGACAAAAAAAGAGGCAAAGCTAGATCTATAAATGGTGCTGGGGATTCACCAATTTTTTGGCAAATATGGGAGTGCAGGAAATTACTCACAGAGGCCTTCAATTCACATGGGCTAATAATAAAGCAGAAGAAGGATTTATAGAAGAAATCGTGGATAGAATGTTTGTCTCGCTAGAGTGGCTTAATCACTTTCCCAATACCCAAGTTACAAACTAGTTCAGAAGTGCATCAGATCATTGCATGCTGATCATCCAAATCAAAGAACCAGTGGCAAGACCCAAAAAAAGATTTTAGTTTGATAAACGTTGGATTCATAAAGAAGGGCTAAAAGAGAAAGTCACATCAGCTTGGGGGAAACACAATCAGACACCCCTAATAGAAGATCAAAAGAACCAGACAAGCACTTTTTAAATAGAGCAGATGTTTCAACAAGGACCATACACACAAAATAAGAAGCATCACACAACAATTAGAGGAATTGAAGCAAGCTGGAGGAGATAGGAATTGGGAGACTTGGGACATAATTCAAAAAGAGCTTGATGAAGCTAATCTATTTGAAGAAATCTACTAGCAACAGAAAGCAAGAACCCTTTGGTTCAAGGAGGGAGACAAAAATTCAAAATTTTTCCATGCCTATATTGCCCAAAGAAGAAAGATGAATTCCATTGTGAGACTGATATCAGAAGGAAACAGAATTGTGGAGGACCCCATGGAAATAGAGCAGATAGTGGCAAACTACTATAAGAACATGTTCACTTCAACTGGCTCTAGCCAAGGACATGAGTTGCTGCCCCTGATCCAAAAAACAGTCACAGATGAAATGAACATTGCACTTACAGCCCCTGTTGAGGATGAAGACATCAAAAAAGCAGTATTTTCCATTCACCCTGACAAAACCCCTGGGGAGGATGCCATGACAAGGCTATTTTTCCAACACTTCTGGCCAATCATCGGTGAGGACATTTGCTATGCAGTCAAGAGCTTCTTTTCTTCAGGCCAACTTTTGAGGTATTGGAAACACACTCTTATTAGTTTAATTCCTAAATGTAGCAATCCCACATCTATCAACCAATATAGGCCTACTAGTTTATGTGCAGTGTTTTACAAAATTATTTCAAAAATATTAGCATCAAGGCTTAGGCTCTGCTGGAATGACTATATTTCTGAAAACCAAGCAGCATTCTTATCTGACAGCCAATTGCTTGACAATGTGGTGTTGGGGCATGAAGTTTTTCACTTTTTAAATAGACAAAGATCAGGGAATAATTGTTCATGGCTTTCAAATTGGATATGGCTAAGGCCTTGACTGTTTGGAATGGAAAGTTATTCAATTAACAATGATCAAAATGGGGTTCTCCCCTTTGTTTATTAAATGGATAGTGACATGTATTCAATTCCCCACATTTTCATTCAATTTAAATGACAAGGTCAGTGGTTTTGTTACTGCTTCTAGGGGCATCAGGCAAGGGATCCATTATCCCCCTACCTGTTCATTATCATTTTTGAACTTTTATCTGCAAAAATAACTTTTGAAGCTGAAAAAGGGAATTATAAAGGCATCAGAATATCTAGAGGTGGTCCTTTACTCACTCATTTATTATTTGCAGATGACACTTTATTAATTTGCAAAGCTGATGATTACCAGACTCATAAAATTCTATCTATTCTGCAATATTATAAATGTTTCACAGGACAAAATGTAAACTGGGCTAAGTCATCTATATTTTTCAGTAAGAATACTCGCAGGGATGTACAAGACATATGTTGTCAAATACTAGATGGAATCCACACCCACACATCTACCAGATATCTTGGGCTTCCATTGGGCATTGGCAGATCCCAAAGGGAGTCTTTCGACTACATTCTTAATGTGGTTAAGAAAAGAATTCTAAGTTGGAAAAATAAATGGTTGTCTACAGCAGGTAAGGAAATTCTAATAAAGGTTGTCTTAAATGCCCTACCCATTTTTGCTATGTCTTGTTTTGTACTGCTAGTGGAAGTGTGCAAAGAAATTGCTAGAATATGCAGCCACTTCTGGTGGAGTAAGAGAACATGCCTGCAAAAAGAAATTCATTGGGTTTCATGTGAATGATTAACACTACACAAGAAGCATGGGGGATTAGGCTTCCAGGATGTCCAGTTGTTCAATGTTGCACTAATAGCCAAGCAGATCTGGAGATTAGTGACACAGCCTGATTCCCTGGTATGCAGAGTTCTTCAAGCTAAATATTTTCCAAACACACCCATTTTTTATGCCCACAGACAACAGAATGCCTCATGGCTTTGGAGTAGCTGGCTAACTATATTAAAGGAATGTGGAAAGTGGATGCAATTAGAGATCTGAAATGGCAATAACACAAGGATATGGGATCAACACTTGATACCAAATCACATTGGCAAAACTGTGCCACTTCTTGAGGGTATTGACAGAGGTCTGAACTGGGTAAGGGACTTAATGACCCTTGATGGCTGCAACTGGGGTGAATCCAAAGTGAGGAATACCTTTCCATCAGTGACTCAATTCTCAACATAAACACTATTAACCCCAATCTCCCAGACAGATGGATTTAGAATCTAAATCATAAAGGTACATTCTCAGTTAAATCCACTTATGCTCATCTCATTTTAGAAAAAGTCCTTCAATTAGACCAGCCACAAGAAAGCAATGCCAGATCCTGCGAACTCAAAGCAAGAACCAGAACATGGAAACTTAAGGTAATGGGCGAAGTAAGACACTTTATCTGGAAATGCTACTCCAATGCTCTTCCTGTTAATCTCAATTTGAAAACTAGAGGTATTCAACTTGATGTGATTTGTGTTGTCTGTGGAGAAGCTGAAGAATCAATATAGCATATACTATTTAATTGTAATCAAGCTCAACAGGTTTGGAAACTTGCCCCTGTCAAATGGGATGGGCCTAAACAGAATGAATCTTTCAAGAATTGATGGTGGCAAGTTTGTCAGTTGGATAGGAGTGACACATCAGAGGCAAGGCTACAGTTATTTACATTTATCCTCTGGTAGCTATGAAAATGTCGAAACATGTGGGTGTTTGAGAGAGTCAGAAGGCCTTCACACTCCATATTACATGCAACTATTCAAGATTGAATAGCATACAAGGAGTCAAATGGGAGCAGGCCTAATACATCTTAGCTTGTGTTTTGTTTTATTTTCTGTTTTTCTGTTTGTTGCTAGTCATATCAGGGATAAGGGCCGCTTCTAACTGCCTTCCCCCTGGGTCTTTTTTTCTTATTTGGAGTCTGTTTTAATTTTCTAGACCACTTTCTAGTGGTTCTCCTAGTAGTCGACTTGTCCTTCATTGTGATTATTGTGTTATCTGTTGTATGAACAATGTATAATTGTGTATTGTGTTAATGAGATATCTGTGGACAAAAAAGAAAAAGAGAAAATTGTGGAAACGAATACAAATCAGAGTACTGTCTTGTGTTGGGATGAAAAGTTGCTTACGTTAGTCGATACCATGATTGAAATCCCCAAATTTCTCAACCCAAATGCACAATAATCTTTACTTGATGCCTCTTCACATACCTAAATATCCTCATAATAATAATAATAATAATAATAATAATAATAATAATAATAATAATAATAATAATAATAATAATAAGACTCGACTTTTGGATCGATATAAACTAGCAATTTGTTTGTTCATCCTCGAGGGAAAACCAAGTGCAAATGGGATAATGCGAAACTAGCATTGATACAAGGAAGTTACAAAAGAAAAGTTAGTAAACCCACAGTAAACGCAAGGAAGCCAATAAAATATCAAAATGCAATAACCTACATCTAACAAATTCGAGTTTGAGAGAGTTAATAAACATTGTTAAAGTCATGTAAACTGCTGTGAACTAACTTCAGCATTTCTTCCTTCAACCCACAACAAACAAACATATACCCCAAAACAAAACAAACCCAGCCGAGCGTATTACTCACATCACATATGGAAGCTGATGGAATTACAAAACTGGAAAAAATCAACACCAACCCATCTTAAACCCGCGCCTCAACACGCAAAACACTGTTTCGATTCACCCTCTCCAAATACACACCATGATCCAAAGGCGATTCTCACCTTCAAACATTAGCATCACACCATAAAGATCAAGTCATCAACAACACACCATCTTCATCCTCAACATCAACATCAACATCAACATCAACATCAACATCCTCCTTCAAAACCCCATCTATTCTCGTCTTCCTCTCCTTCTCCAACTCATAAACCTTATCCCTCATCCCCTCCTTCCCATACGCATCAATCATCACTCCATAACTCGTGGAGTCCGGCAAACAACCCTTTCCCTTCATCCTCTCGAAAACCCTCTCCATCTCCATCAAATCCCCCGCCTTCGCACAAGCATAGATCACCGCATTGAAAAACGACGTGTTCTCCGGCACCTCCAACCTCCCCGCCAACCTCACACTATCAATCACCTTATGAAAAAGCCCGCCGTTCGCATAACCCCTAATCAAACAACAAAAAGTCTTCACGTCGGCCCGAATCCCCTCGGCCCGCATTTGGTCGAACGCACACTCCATATTCTCTGAATCACCCGCGTCCGAAAATGCCTCGATCACGTTGTTGTAAGTCGAGGTCGTCCAAGAAAAGTTTAGCTTCCGCATGTACTCCATCACGGACGACATTTTGTCGTACATTTTCCTTTTCCCGTAAGCGCCTATCAAGATATTAAAGGTTCGGGTCTCGGGTTCGATCCCGAAATCTCGAAACTTCTCGTACCATTGCTCCATCATCTCGATCCGCCCCTCGTTCCCGAAAACGGCGATGATCGTGTTCATTGTCCACACGTCGGGCTGCGGGCCCATTGGGTTTTCGAGCATTCTCGAAAGCACGTTTTCCATCTCGTCGTATTTTCCCGCCTTTCCGTAGCCGCTGAGGACTGTGTTCTGGGTGACGGTGTTTGGAGTGATGGATCGTTCGGCCATTTCATCGTAAAGCGGGCCCACGAGGTCGAAACGCTTGGCGTCCACGCAAGCCTTGATGAGGATGCTGTAAGTGTAGACGTCCGGCTGGCAATTGGGGAGGCTTTTCATTTGGCCGAGGATTGTGAAAGCCTTGTCCACGAGGTTGCTCCGGCAGCAGGCTGCTAGTAGGGCGGTGTAGAGCTCGGGGGTGGGGTTCAATCCGGTTTGGAGCATTTCGTCGAACAGTTTGTGGGCTTGACCGGGCTGCCCGCAACGACCTAGGAGGATGAGGAGCCTCATGTACGTGCCTTCCTTTGGGTAGTAGAAAGGCTGCGCCTTTAGCATCTCAAAAACCTAAATTAATAAAGGAAGAATTTCAAGGCGTATGAG